TTAGCTCCAACTTGTCTATTCCCTTCTTATGTTGAGGTGCCCCAAACTGTACGTAATACTCTACATGATGCTGGATGAGCACTGAATATAATGGGAGTTCCCTCAGTTTAGAAACTATTTCTCTATTAAGGCAGGCAGAAATAGCATTTACCGGTACCCCTTTTTTTGCGGCACTACATACAATCATATAGGGTTGGAAGGAGGTTCTTTGAGGTTACTTAAGAGGGGTAGTAGGAAGAAAATGTTACTATTGGTGCTGTTTTGTGTTTACAAGAAATTGTAAACTATAGCAACAGATAGAAGAACCAACCTGTCAGAGTCCCTCCTCAGTGAAGAAATGGGAAATATAAAATCCCTGTTAGTGCAGTAATGAAAAGACCCTTCATATTGAATAACCTAATTTATACTTCTGGACTTACAAGGACTTCAGAACATTTGGCTGTAAGCTTTTCTGATGATTGTGATGAGTCTTGCATCTCAGATTGCTATTTTGAAGTGTGCGTATTATACTAATAATTGCAGCAAGTTGAAATCAATATAATGTTGTGTGTGCATGTAGAATGTTTTTATTTGTATGCCTAATCTGCATTTCCCCCAATTTGGGACTATATTGTTAAAATCCACAAGACACCAAAGTTAAATGACATTAAATAATAGAAAATTAAAACCAGGCTATAACGTATGTTAAGATGTACACTCACACCAGCACAACAGTTAGCAAGGCACATTATTTGGTGAATGGACCTTATACAATCAATCATCAGGTACATGTCTAAACAGAAAAGTCCTTGCTTGTCTATGAAAAGAAAGCAGGGAGGGTACCAATCTATTTTCTCCAGGAACCAAGTTGACAGAAGCCATGTGGAAGACCCTCCCATGTTTTCTGATCATTGTACCTGTTGGGGTAGTGGAACAGAGAGAAGGGCATCCCCACCAGATCTCAAAACATAAGTTGGTAGGTGAGGGAGACTACATCCTTCAAATAACCTGGACCTGAGCCATATAGAAATTTACAGGTAAAAATTAGCACTTTGAATTGTGCCTAGAAATGGGTTGGTATCCCCTGAAGGTGTGGCAACAAAGGAGTTGTATGTGTTGGTGAAAGTTCTCATGGCTGGAATCACTGGGTTGCTGTGAGTTTTCTGGGCTGTATGGCCATGTTCCAGAAATATTCTCTCCTTACATTTCACCCACGTTTATGGCAGGCATCCTCAGAGGTTGTGAAATTTGTTGGAAACTACAGACCTCACAGTCTCTTAGGATGCCTGCCATAGATGCGGGTGAAACGTCAGGAGAGAATGCTTCTGTAACATGGCCATACAGCCCAGAAAACTCACAGCAACCCGAAGAACTTGTATTTTTCCTAGAGCCAGACCAAGTTAATAATCTGGCCGTAACTCTTTGAACCAGGTGAAGTTGCCAAACAGTCTTCAAAGGCAGCACCACACATTGTGCTCATTGTAACTAAGATGTGTGACACGAGCCAGATCTGACATCTCAAGGAACAGGCATATCTAGCATGCAAACCTAACTCTGCAAATGTACTGGTAGTCAGGGGAATGTAATACTATCCAGCATTGCTTTATTCTTTACTTCCTGGTCAGACTTTTGACTGGCTTGGAGTGCCTCTGTTTTGTCTGGATTAGGCTTGAGTTTGTTTGCCTTCTTTCAGTCCATTACTGAAGACAGGCAGTGGTTTAGGACCAAAACAGCTTCCTTGGTGTGTTTGATAGAATGGAGGAAGAGTTTGGTGTAATCTGCATAATGGTGGCACCAACTTCCAAACTCCCAACATCTTATCCCAGTTGTTTTATGTATATGTTAAATAGCAAGGCAGTCCAAAGCAGCACCCTTTGGAACTCCACAGGCCAATGGCTAATGTCAGCTGGAGCCCCAACATCACTTCTGGTAGTGTTGCTGCAGTCTGAAAAGTCAAAATTTTATTATGCTCCAAATTGCTTAAAATTACATCTAATTAAATATTTTTCAGTGGGCACCCTTGTTCACATATATATATGAACTCTCATGGAAACCTGGAAATATAGGTATCTTATGAAAGGCACTAATTTGGCCAGTGTTCCCAGGCGGGTTAAGTTCATACAGTTCAAGTTTGTTCCTAAGTTATTAAAATCTGCATCTTGTATAGGTGTTTAAATCATTAACAAGAAATCTCTTGACATAGCCATAGATAGATTTCATTCCATGTGGTGCCCCAAGAGTTTTTAATAATTCATGGATTCTGCTAGTTTGGAAATGGATACTTTTTTCCTAACACATAATGATTTTGACGGGAAGGAAAAGTACACATTGTAGATACCAATATTCCACAAAGTATAAAATATACAGGCACACATTCTCAAAATGCCAACTCGCATGCAATCTAAAGGGATACATGCATATTCTAAGCATTAGATAATCAACAACTATTTGCCCTACTTTAATAGAAGAACAGTTTGTATAAAACCTAGAAATAAGTGATTGCCAAGTTCTCAAACTGCGTTTGTAATATTGCCTTTCAGCTGCTGAAATAGAATGAGTGTGATGTGGTTTCTGTGCATCTTATCCAGCAGTCCAGATGTTCTTACAACAAATCATTTGTCTTTATGGGTTCTTGAATAAAGATTCCCTTTTTAATGCAAACAGAAATATATTTTCCTCATTGTAGTATATCTAAAACTCTCACTGTCCTGATAGTATCTTGGCAAGTGACTTGCTGGCTTTGCCTTGGCAGGCAGGTTGGAGAGAAACTGCGTACTGTATATACTCTGTTCTGAACTGATGGATCTGAGGTACAGAAACTAACTTCAGGTAAGATGACCCTTGTTCTGTACATACAGGATTTTCTATTTAAAGCAAGTTAGTTTTCTATCATTACTGTTTCTGAAATGCAACATCCCACCCTGGTATAAGTTTGTGGTTTTGGACCTTAAGAGAGGTAAACATGGAGTCATTCCAGCCGTTGCTGTGACTATGAGATAATTTAGGTGCAGTTAATGATTTGGTAAGCTTTTTAAAATAGCACCACATTAGTTTGCCTTCCATACATGTGGCTTTTGACTTGCTTACACCACTAATGCAATGTTTATAATGCTTTGTTCTAACATTTTCACTTTTACTGCTTTAAAACTGTTAAGTTGTAATAAGAGTGCTAATGTTGAAATCTAGTTCTTTGCTTCTGAAGTATTGGAAAACACTCTCGGTTTGTTAGTAGAGCTACTATTCACATTGCTCTTTTGCATCACCATGAATATGGATCATCCGTCTTCATATATAATTTTACAGTCACAAATGCAGTTAACTGTATTTGATTTACTGAGCATTGTTTGACGAAATTATCAAATATTTGTGTGATTTTGTGGATCTTGCTAGGAAACCCTTTAATACTATTACCCAGTGCTAAAGATAGGAAGGCCTGGAAAAATCGAGAAAAATTGGGGAAAAAACAAAGTGCCCCCCCCCCCATTTTTTCTGGAGAAATTGAAACAAAAAAGTCTCAGAAATCTTTCATTAGGGTCTTCATGTTATATAGTTTGAATGCCATGTCATGGATATATTATTTATTATATTCTTAAACGTGAAAAGTCAGGAGAAAATGCTGCTAGATCCTCTAAAGATGCCAGCCACAGATGCAAGTGAAATGTCAGGAGAAAATGCCGCTAGAACACGGCCATATGTCTCGGAAACCATGCAACGCCCCAGTGATTCTGGCCATAAAAGCCTTTGACAATATTCTACACACTTTTCATTTTTTTCTGGAAAAGAATGGCTTTTCCCAATTTTCTGGGCTTTTCTCCAGGCCTTCCCATCTCTAACCAGTGCTACACATTTCTTTTCCTAAGCAACCTAACACCTTTTTGTGGTATTCCAGTTCCAGTTCTTGGTCCATCAATTTTCTCCTTTCCTACCTCTGAAGCAACTTTGTCAGCATCGGTTAAGGGTAATGAATGCTTTATCTAGGAAACTTTTGTAAAATCACTCTAGAAAGGGTGCTTCCAGATGAGACCTTTGCTGTGCATTTGTACTGTTTCCTGACAGATTTTACAGGCATTATATTTAAGCATCTTGTGTGTTTTCATACAGTTGTTTCTATTTGTTTACTTAACAAAATATCCCATCTATGAGGGGAAAAACAGACCAACTGCATAGCACCTTTTGATTACTAATATTGGGAGGTCTCTAACCAGAAGAACCCAAAGCCTGCATCAAAAACACTTTTTGAATAAGGTGAAGTATCTCAAATGAATAAAAAAGTAAACTTAAAATTGTGGTATTTTAATAAAGGGGCAACAAATTGCCAATGATGCTGTCATGATCAACAGAGTGTCAGTTGGTGAATTCTAGAAATCAGATCTTGAACATTCTTGCTCTAGATATGATTTAGCTTGAATGTTTCAGCCTGAAATGATCAAATGCAAGATTGTAATGGAAATTATTATCCTGTGACATGGTGCTTTCCAGGCCTGTTTTAAGAAATGACTGGTGCTTCTCACGTGATGTCACTGCACAATCAAAGCAAACACTGATTTGAAACTAATCATGGAAGAACAGTTTGTGAAACCATGAGCGCCATCTGAAAATAGCTAAATTGAATAGGATATAAATATTTCTATTGACCCCTCCCTGCAAAAAGTTGACTATTCCTTATCCAAAATGCTTGAATCCAAAGTGTTTTTGATTTCATTTTTTTTAAATGGCAATGTCTGTGTTTAAATCAAAATCCAAAAAGCACAACATTCATGTAGTGGCATATACATCTTTTACACTTTGCTTGAAGGTCATTTTGTGCAATATTTTAAATAATTTGGTGCATGAAACATCAAACAATTAGAAAGTAAACCTCAGCAATGCATGTGAACAATTTTGGATTTGGTAGTATTTTGGATTTTGGAATTCTGGATAAGGGATCCTCAATTTCTGCATATAGTAATTCTTATCCAAACGGTTATCCAAATATGCATGGGCTTATTTTTTAAAAATCTTTCTCTCTTTTACTTATCAAGAGAAACTGGAGGTTGCACCACCATCTACTGGACAGCTGAAGCACGGTAAACTTTCAATTATCTAATTTCTAAAAATCAGCTGTTGGGTGGGATTTAGCAGAAGAAGTAACCCCCCCCCCCCTTCTACCCTTTTAATTTCTGCCTGTTAGCCAGCTGCAGTTTTCTGGACTTTGTGAAGTGGTGGAGGTCCACAGTAACCTAAATCCCTAAGATTTATCCCTAGAGACCACAAGAATTCAGTTCTTAATTGTACGAATAATCTCTCTAATACAGTGGTTCCCAACCTGTGGTCCATGGGCCACCAGTGGTCCGTAAGAAAAAAATATGGCCTCATCATTAGTACACTGATGCCTTGAAACCATGGGGCAACAAGAGTGACTGATTTCCTGAAACCCTCTTACAGTGCTGTGGCAATGGGAGGGGAGAGACTGATTACCTACAAAAGATTACTACTACCACATCAGCTCTAGATTATTAAATATGGTTTTCTTTGAATGAGCAGATGGCAATTACTGGATGGCATATGTTCTGTATCAGAAACTAGAGTTGATGTGGTCTGTACAATGCAGTTTTCTGAATTAGCACCCCAAATAACCAAACTGAATCTAAAGTTGACAAAAAACCCGATTCGTAACCCTTTTGATTCTAATATTGGAGAGTGGTCCCTCGTCAAAGTGGTCCCTCATCAAAGTGGTCCCTGGCCAAGTGATCCCTGGTGAAAGAAAGGTTGAGAACCACTGTTCTAATAATTTGTTCTAAGTGAGCATTTTTCTCATGGCCAGTTTTGCACTTGGCTATATTGGGCAATTTGGGTCATTTAGATCAGGACAGTCTAGAACACTGCTTCTTAAATTGTGGGTCTTGATACCAAATGGGGCTCCCTTAGCTCCATGTTAGGATCATGAAAAAATTGGGAACAATAAAAACATTCTGAATGCCATCTATTTACATAAATTTCTTAGTAACAAAGTGCAATGTAACAGTAGACTTGCAGAAAATGCTTCAGATGTACTTCACAGAAACAAAAATCTGCCTGTTTAGCGAGCCTTGCAAATGCTGATTTATTAATATGTTTGGGGGTTTTATACCGATATACCTGTGGCCACTTAACAATTTATCAGATGGAAAGTGATTGTGAGTGGAAAAGGTTTAAGAAGACGCGATCTAGAACACTCCTCCCCTTTCCTCAAATCATGAATAAATTATGGTAATAATCACTAAATGGCACAAACCAAATTTGCAAAGGCAATACTTGCTCATAAGATTTGTATTTACCAGAAATAAGAGGGGGGTGGGTGGGAAGGCAGGAATAAAATGAGGACATAAGGAGGCATGCTGTTTCATTCAGAACTTAATCATTTTAATTGATCCTGACCTACAGACCATTCACTTTTATTTGTTTTTTATTATTCCACATCAACGTATTGAATAGATCTGATAAAACTTCAAAGTGGACTGGTCAAGCAGTAGATATTTCCACATTCATTGTGTGCTGCACACACTTTTTTGGTGGCTGGTTTTGTATAGGATTGTCTAGAATCTTAACTATGTCCCAGAATATTTCTTTAGTGTTATAGCTGGGAAAACCAGGGAATTATATTATGTTTTGCTTATTTGAATTAGAAATCGTTAAAAGCACTTCTTATGCTCTCTTTTTTAGTGTTCTTCCACAATGCAGTACCTTTTGTAGGATTTGGATTTTTTGATAATGCAATTATGATTGCTGCGGTAAGTCACTTCACTTATTGGTATCAAACTAGAATTGCATTGGCTATCCATGATATATGTGATGTCGTCTAAAGAAGTTTAAAAATATTTTCAGTTTTGTTTTCAAAATGTATTTTGTAGATGTCATACTCCTTTTTTATTTTGAAAGCTTACTCTTTTAATGTACCATATATACTCGAGTATAAGTCGACCTTATTATAAGCTGAGGCACCTAATTTTACTACAGAAAACTGAGAAATCATATTTACTCGAGTATAAGCTGTGAGTGGGAAATGCAGCAGCTACTGGTAAATAGATACCAATAAAATTACATTAAGTGAGGCATCAGTAGGCTAAATGTTTTTGAATATTTACAAAAAACTGTAATTTAAGATAAGACTGACCAACTCTGATTAAACCATCTTTCTAACCTTCCTCAATGTAAATGTGCTTACGTTTCCTTCCAACAATAATAGAGTAAAATAATGGAAATGTAATAATAACAGTAATAATATAATAAAATAATAAATGTAATAATAATAATAATAATGTAATAATAATAATGAATGGAGTAAAATAATGTAATAATAATAGAGTAACATAATAATTGTAAAGGGCCCCCCTGCTGGCACAGTGAGTTAAAGGTTGGCGATTTGAATCAGGAAGCGAGGTGAGCTCCCACTTTTAGGCTCAGCTTCTGCCAACCTAGCAGTTCAAAAACATGCAGATGTGAATAGATCAATAGGTTACGCTTCTGTGGGAAGGTAATGGTGTTTCGTGTAGTTATGCTGGCCATATGACCTTGGAGGTGTCTATGGACAACACAGGCTCTTCAGCTTAGAAATGGAGATGAGCACAAACCCCCCAGAGTCGGGCACGACTAGACCTAATGTCAGGGGAAACCTTTACCTTTACTAATAAATGTAATCATAACAATAAATAGAGTAAAATATTAAATGTAATAAATAAATAAATAAAGTAATAAATGTAATAATAGTAGTAATAGAGTAAAATAATAAATGCAATAATAATAGAGTAAAATAATAAATGTAATAAAAATAATAGCAATAGAGTAATATAATAAATAACATTGACTCGAGTATAAGCTGAGGGGGGCTTTTTCAGCCTTAAAAAAGGGCTGAAAAACACTGCTTATACTCAAGTATATACGGCAATTCTCCTAGAAGCCTTTTGAGGGTTCTAGAAGAATTACGAAGAAGTCAGGCTGTTATCCCCAATGTTGTCTTGTTTTTTAATGTACTCATCTCTTGTAGCCTTCTTTCTATGAATGTCTAATAGTAGTGAAATGTTTTCTTAAAGTATTCTAATTATTTTTAGGGCACGCAAATAGAACTGTCGATAGGGATTGTGCTTGGAATTTCGACTATGGCAGGCAAGTAATCTGTATTCACCTATTGTCTGTGTATCTGTTACTGTAGTTGTTTATCTGCCATCAAGCTAGTGCATAAGGGGATCCATAAAAAAACAAGCATTTGGTGCCTAGGGAAAGTAATTATATGGTTTTTATAGTAACAGATAGAAATCTTGTCAATAAGTAATTATGAAAACACAGTTCAGTGGTAGACCTATGATTTTTCATGATTTTAACAATCAGTTTGGAAAGATGACTGAACACTGCTCTCAGGTATCTTATACCCCGGAGACCCTTTTTTGGTCATGAAAACATTAAAGGTTCTCAAGGAGTAGGGACTGTGTGGCCAATGGCTGCATGTGTCCTGAGAGATCTCTTCTGTAGTCCCCAGATTTGAGGGAGGGAAAACAATCCTGGTCTTTAACTTTGGTTCGGGCAGGCTGTGTCTTGTCTTACATCATTGAACAGTGTTCTGCTCCTATTGTTCTTTTTAGTCTTAAAGCCACTTTTCTTTTGATGTTTTTAAATTATTCTAATTCATGTTTGGAAGCTATTGTGGATATTTATGCAAGTGTGATATATAAATTTATGCAAATGTGATATATAAATGTTGCAGAGAATTGGAAGTATTCTGGTTTTGACCAATAATGTATTGGAAAAGACCCATAAAAGCATTATTATTAGTAGTATTAGTATTAGTATTGTTGTTATTTATTGTTATTATTTACTGTTCTTCATGTATTGATAACATCTCATATAATGTTTGTGGTTCTCTAATATCTAGCTGCTGCCCTAGGCAATCTTGTGTCGGACTTAGCTGGATTGGGGTAAGTTTTAGTCATATTTTTGTAGTGGTTTAGATGTTAAATTATTAAGCATTCAGTGGGTCTAGCATCCCCTGGGTCATTCATTCAGTGCTAGGTATAAGTTTTATTGACGTTTGATATGAGTGTTTCACATGATTAAACATAGTAGCACCTATAACTTCCTTGCATTAAAAAACCCATTCAGAGCTTTAGCATTATTCATGTAATTGTTGGGTGAGTAGGCTTATTAATAAAAGACCCTCCTCATAAATGTATAGCAGAGTAACTTATTAGCAACAGGATGATCCAGCACCAGTAGTCAAAAGTGCTAAAAATAACAAAAATACACAGACCAATGCTATATCTTCCTTAGGAGGCTTTTTTAAAATAGCAAAATAATATGATTGCACTATTTACAAGAACAAGTTTCCATAACACAAATGACGTTCTTTATAGTTCTTTCTTTGCTCCCGCACTGGGCTTCTTTCTCATGCAGATAAACAGCTACGCTCTCACTGAGCTTCCTCTCACACCAAACTTACACAGGAATTTAATACAGTCCTCCCCCCCCCCCTTCCCCAGACAACAGCCCTCACACAGGAGCTTCACACACAATGTCTTCAACCTAGGGCTTCTCTCACTGAAGCTTGTCACACCAGGTCTTCTTACACTGAGGCCTCTCACTGAGGTTTACCTCAACTGAGGCCTCTCTCAAACTGAGGCCTTTCTCTCACTGAGGCATCTCTAACACTAGAGCCTTCTCATACTGAGGCTTCTCTCATACTGAGGGCAACTAACACTGAGGTGTACTAAGCTATACACACCTACTTATATTAAATCACAGCTTTTCCTGAGTCATTGCATCCATTTAACCCTTTCAGTGCTTGACTCACATTTTTGTAATTAAAAATACCTACTTAATTTTTAATATTTCTGACAGTAGTTTCCTTCTATAGTTACTGTGTTCTGTGCAAAATCTTCCACCCATACCAGCACAACTGTCTTTCTCATATATCAATCTCCTACAGTGCATCATTGCATATAGAAATCTTACTATGTGTGGTCACATTGCTCCAGAAAAAAAATGAAATGTGCTGTAACAAAAGGTGCATGTATATGTTTGGAATTTAAAGTGTACCAAAGTTTACCAACAAAAGTGCTATGTTCTGTAAAAGAGTTGAAAGTAATCGCAGTTGGCAGAAACATGCGAGTAATAACAAAAGAAACATCACTTGGATCCCAGAAATGCAAGCTGGTTTGCAAAGCAAACTAGGAACAATCTTTTTTTACTTCTTCTTTTTCTACAAACAACTAAATCTGAACATATTGCACCTGGTAAATATCTTATGACCAGTTTCTGTGTATATATATTTGTGAATTTATATATAAACATATCTATGTGTTCCTCCAAGGCTTGCAGGTTATATTGAAGCAATGGCCTCTAGATTGGGGCTCTCCATTCCTGATTTAACACCCAAACAAGCTGACATGTGGCAAACACGTCTTAGTGCACACTTGGTAAGTATGTATGTCTGAATATAATCTGATTCCTAAGAAGTTAAAGTAATATCAAATACAGGATAATACAGAGTTGTAACCCATTAGTAAGTGAGAAGAAAATATTGCCAAAGCTCTGGGCTTGTTCAGTAGACATAATGGCCATTGTAGAGTCTGTGTTAGAGGTGTGACAACATACAACCGATGGAAGTATGTGCAGTTTTTGCAGGCCCCACCAAGTCTCCTCATCAACTCAGCAAAATAAAAGCTTCTGCACATGTAATCAAGCTCTGCTTTTAGGATTGCAGTTGTGCTTTGAACTATTAAATGTAGTGGCAGTTTTTGTCATTGCCATAATTATGGTGTATGCAGTGACACCAAAGCACATAAACACCCTTATTTTATGTGGCATCCCACTCAGAATCTTTCATGTGATGCATCTGCACAGTTTGCCACATTTAAAGTGTTTGTGATTGCTCTAACAGCAAATTAGATGGTAGAGTCAGCCCTGTGATGTTTCTGAGGTGTCCAGTATCCATGCTTACCTCTTGTCTGTACAGATAGCAAGTATCTCTTGAAATCCTGCATTTGGGTATTTATTCTGAGTATCCTCAACTTTTGCCAGTTTAAGGAGAAACTGGTCTGACGGGTATGAAATAGCTCCAAGAGAGATATGACTAGGCATTGCTAGATGCAAGAGTCTTTCTCTAAGTGTTTTAACTTTATTGCATCTCAGTCGGGCAGTCAGTGCAAAATATATATTTTGTTCATAGCCAGGAGCCTCCCGTGGCACAATGAGTTAAACCATTGTGCTGGCTGAACAGCTGACTGAAAGGGAGCAGGGTGAGCTCCCATCTGTTAGCTCCAGCTTCTCATGCGGGGACATGAGAGAAGCCTCCCACAGGATGGTAAGGCATCCAGGGGTTCCCTGGGCAATGTCCTTGGAGACGGCCAATTGTCTCACATCAGAAGCAACTTGCAGTTTCTCAAGTTGCTCCTGACACATACAAAAAATTATTGGCCAGGTTAGGACCTCTTTCTTTGCCCAAACTTTTTGAACTGACTTGCAAAACTGGACTTCAGTACATTTTCTGCTTTTTGTGGTTGTTCACTAGAGTTGAATAAGGGTTTAAATATTTTATCAGTCAATTTCATGGTCATCTTCACCAGAAAGTGAAGGCCACATATAAATATTTTCAATACAGTAAATAAAATAAAATAAATGATTATGAGGTACCATCTAGAGTATTTCTCAGTGATCGAACATTTGCTAATACTGCATGAATGTTTTCCAATATTTCTACCAACTCTCCACCGATGATGAAGCAGCAAAGCATAAGTATTAGCTATTAAAAATAAATTGGTTGCAATGCCCACTACTTTCCTGTACATTGTGAGACATAATGATTCTGAAACTCTGGGCCGGAACCACATAAAGAATGTTATCAAGATCTTCAGAACTGAAAGTGACCCTTAGTTGGTCCCTAAATTATGAACCCATATGCTTTCTCTTTTTCTTTTTTAGGGTAAGGCTATTGGAGTGACCATTGGCTGCCTTTTAGGAATGTTTCCATTGTTCTTCTTTGGCGATGAAGAAGAAAAAAAACTGGAAGGAAAAAAATAACCTTTTTACAAAGCTCTCTATATAAACTAATGTACCTCAGTTATACAACTATGCTGTCAAAATATTTAGGATTTAGCAGACAGTAAACAATGTATAGAATGGGGAACAAAACAGCATGCCCTTTTATGGAAACACTAACTTATTGTGGCTTTGTCTTAGTACATCTTTTTATAAGGGGGTTTCATTTTTAAAATGTAAATTGTTGTGTGTGTTTCCCTTACACTGGCAGTTGACTTTTGCCATCTCTTTGCCCCCCACCCCTCCCAGCCCCAGTTCTCTCTATTAGGATTATTACTTTAATTGCCTGCCATCAGTGTCCTGTATGGGTTTTGGGTTTGCATATTTAATTAGCATTTGGAAATGCATGACACAAGTTGCCCATGGTGCTCGCTCATTAGACCTTCCATTCCAGACTTCTTATGTAGCTCGGCGACAGATGACTTTAGGAGTGCCTTGACTCTTTTGCTGCATTTATTGGTCCTGAACTCTGGTTTCAAATTGTGTGCTCGAAACACAAAAGTATTGTTTGAAATAGTATCTGGATATTTTCTGATGGATGATGCAATTATAGAGACTGTGTGAAGCCACTTACACATTTTTTTCAGACTTTGTTATGCTGTCTCCATCCCATAATTGCATAAATGCAATGGGTGAGAACTCCAGAGACCTAAAAATTGGCATCGAAATAGTTTGCATGCAACACAATTAGTGTATGATTTGGAAATGATGAATTGTTCAACAGTTAGAATCAGAAAGCTGTAGAAAACGTTTATCTGGGGATTCATAACAGTCTCTGTACATGGATTTCTAATGCTTTACACTGTCTACACCCAATTATGTGTGCAGTATTTTTTGAAAATTAGACTTAGTTGGCATGCTTGTGCTGCCATCTTTATTTGATTCTCAAAAAACAGAAACAAATGTTCCTCTATCTTCTTGGATTTGAAGCATTGGGGACGACGACCCATCAAAGCTAAGATTTTTGAAGACAGTGTTGGTTTATGTAGTACTGCTTCTACTTGTTGACTGCAGGTGAATTAAAAGCAGTATATAATGCAATGTGACATACAGAGAGTAAGACTTAGATGAGAGTGAAGGAAAGTGCAAGATAAAATAAAACCAAGACATAATTGTTTCCAAAACATGTTGTTCAGTGTGAAACAAATTTCAATGTGCCACCTTTGAACCTTTTTTGCTTTAGGAATTGAGAAGTAGTAATGTTAGTATCCTTGTCTCTTTGAATACTAACTGGGGAGGGATGCTGGTTTGGATTGGTCTCAGAGAGCTTTTGTTTTGGTCTGGGTAAGTAGATCTTACATGAAGAATGTAACCTACAAAAATAAACTTGTTTACTTTTTGTTTATTAGAAAGACATAATTTTTCCATTTTGCCTCACTGTGTTTGTGTCCATACTTGGTGTCTTAATATCCAAAGCAGCTTTTACCTGTTGGGATTTCAGTAGAGAATAGTGGTCTCATTTGCCGTGTTATGAAAAATAAATTGCAACTTGGATCTGGAACACTTAATATTGAATTTCTGAATACACAAGAACGAGTAACAGAGGAAAAGGATGGACTGTTGAGTTGCCATTTTATGATACTATTTTTTATTATCCAATTTTTAACCCTTAAATTGGTTAGACTATGAAGGTAAGCCATGTTTATATGCAGTAAGGACAAGTAAGCAAACTTGAAGACAAGTAAATTGAAATCCATGGGACATCTCATGAAGCTCAGTAGGGAGTGGGTAGACCAGTGGTTCACAACCTATGGGCCCCCAAATGTTTTGACCTTCAACTCCCAGAAATCCTAACAGCTGGCAAACTGGCTGGGATTTCTGGGAGTTGTAGGCCAAAACATCTGGGGACTCACATGTTGAGAACCACTATTCTAGATTTTGGCTCTTCACTGTCTAGCTTGTCAAGTGAGAATTGATCTGACTTGCTCTTGTGCCTTTAATAGCAGTTTGATCTGTAAATAGATTAATTTTTTTCACAACATGGAGAATTATTATCATTATTAGTGTAGTGCTTACCATTTAAAAGCTCTATACAGCTTGGGCCATAGGATCCAAGGATTGCCATCTTCTACACAAATCTGTACAGAGCGACAGTCTTCTAAGACCCTTTTCTACATGCTTTTATCTTTAGAAGTTAGTGGATGAAACAGGACAGGGATTCTACTTTTGAAATCCTGTTATGTGTTACTTTGCTTTCATGTTGCTAGCCAAAGGCCTTTTATTTTACCTTTTACATTTCTTGTCAATCATTCTTTTAGCTGGCTTCCACTGTTATCTTACTTGTTGCAAATTGAGTTTATAGTCTTTTTTTGGATTTGTTAACTGTGTAGAGACTATGCATATTTATGGCTGGTATTCTAAAAAAATACAAAAAGCACTAAATCCATCATGATCATGTTAAATGCACACCTATGGAGGTTAAATGAAGTTTCTTTCCCTAGCACAGTGGTTCTCAACCTATGGGTCCCAGGGTGTTTTGGCCTACAACTCCCAGAAATCCCAGCCAGTTTACCAGGTGTTAGGATTTTTGGGAGTTGAAGACCAAAACATCTGGGGACCCGGGATTTCTGGGAGTTGAAGGCCAAAACATCTGGGGACCCACAGGTTAAGAACCACTCTCCTAGCAGAATCCTAGTGACTGCCACACAGCATAAATTTTAAAAGCATATTTCAGTAAATCCATCGGGATTCCACCCCTCCCCACTCCAAATATATACCAAGCTAAGAAAACATCATTGAAAGTCCTAAATATTGTACTTGTTCACAAAAATTATGTTCTAGCATCTGCTGTCCTTCAAAATAAACATTGTGTTGAAACTACAATCTGAATAAGAAAGCGGCAATTGTCTAACAGTAATGAGCAAACCGTGGTATATAGACTACACTTAGCCTACATTGGGTGGCGAGTAGCAGCCCTAGATGCCCCTGAGATTCCATTATTCCCTAGATTATATAAAAAATATCCTGGAATAGATACATTGTCCCAGTGGAGACTTCCTATGCACTATCCCTCCTGGGGGCTACCCAGAATAAGCAATAGCTTAAATAAATTCTCCTCTAAATCCCAGAGGTTTGGGGCTGATTTTTTTCAGAGCAAGAATAATAGCTGTACTCTATATGTCAAAGGTAGACAGGTGCGAAGGATTCAGGTGTTGCTCCTTTCCTAGGCCTTTCGGACCCTGCACATTGACCACTTTTGTTCAAAATCTGAAGTGATTTTGTTTTGGAAAAAATGATTATTTCAGGTCCTTCCAAAGGTCTCCCCAGAAAAAGCTTTAATGGCACTTGAGGGCTTATGTGGCATGCAGTTAGTTGATTTAAAGATGAATATTTTGGAGGAGAGATGTCTCCTGTTCCAGAGCCATTGGTGAGCTGGACAATTTCTACCCCTGAAATATACCGTATCTTTCATCTGAACACATCTCTGCTCATAACCTGAATATGGCATAGCTTTTCAGGTCATAATGCTAGATTTTTGGCAGTGGATCTGACTATAGGGATCTACAGAAGGAAATGAAGAAGATGGATGACCTGAAAGAAGAAGAAATCATTTTATTACCATGTTTGTTGCACTTCCCCTTTCCATATACATCTGCATTTTCCAGCATGAATTCCCAAGTACATGTTTACTTCAATTGGGAACATCATCTCAGGAAGCTGACTGTTTAATAAACTCTTGCATTCAGTAGATGGATGTATGTAGCTCCACTGTACACTCAATTCCACCAGGTTGTATTTGTAATGTTTTGAATGAATGCCGCTTCTATTGAAATAATTTGTTGACTTTCCTCAAATACTCTTCTATTTTTGCCTGCAACTTATTTTAACTTCCCTGCAATATATGGTATTTGTGTGGTGGTAAGGCGACTGGAAGGCACACACACACAAAATATGCTTCCTATGACATGACTGACGATCTGGAATACTAAACTTTTCCCCACACTTTTTGTTGAAATAAACTAAATCCTAGTCAAAAGTTGACTAGTGTAATTGTTTGAATTTCTGAAATATACTAAGAAGTTCCTATAATATTGTTCATTGGTTTATGCATGTACATTTTATGCATTTTGTTGATCCTATATGTCAATCTATTGTACTGAGACCAGTGTTTTTAACAAGAAAATATGAACTAAATCTTATAAAAACATCTGTTTTTGTATTAAGTATTTCTTGCTCTGAAATTGCAATATGATCTAAACTAATTATATGGATCTGTCATGTAAACAACTTGTGATATTTAAATGGGCCAGTAAAGATCAAGGAAGAGCTCCAAATGGCAGTGTCAGATTAGATTTCAGATTATGTGTGTTATATTAGGAGATGTAAGCAATGGTACTTCGTCAGACAAATGTAACATGACTACTCACTCAGCAAGATAATAAAGTAATATAGTACTTCAGTTTCCTTGTGGAAAGAAAAAGCAGAATATAGATAAGCATAATAATAATAATAATATAATAATAATACTTTACTAATAATCCAAAGCTTCACCTCATTATACTGCAGATCTCTTCACATAAATGGGAGGGTAGGAAACAATAAGAATGTAGTATGAAATTTTTTAAAAGTTTTTTTCCTCAGAGTGGAATGTCAGGTAAAAGATAAAGTAGAGTGTGGCTAAAATGAGAAGAAAGAGTTGTAGGATTTAAGTAACATGAGCATCTCAGGTGCTAACTAGAATCAAATTCTATAATACTGTATATACTCAAGTACAGTATAAGCTGACCCAAATATAAGCCGAGGCACAGAATTTTACCACAGAAACCTGGGAAACCATGTTGACTTAAGTATAAGCTGAGGGTGGGAAATGTAGCAGCTACTGGTAAATTTCAAAATCAAAATAGATACCAATAAAATTACATTAATTGAGGCATCAGTAGGTGCAATGTTTTAATATTTACATAAAACTTAATTTAAGATAATAAGACTGTCCAACTCTGATTAAACCATCATTCTAACCTTCTTCAATGTAAATGTGCTTACGTATCTTTGCAATAATAATATAAAGAGTGAAATAAATGTAATAATAACAGCAATAATACTTTAAAATAATAAATGTAATAATAACTAATAGAGTAAAATATTAAATGTAATAATAATAGAGTAAAACAATGTAAATGTAATAATAGTAATAACTTGATTAAAATAATAAATGTAATAATAATAACAGAGCAAAATAATAAATAACCTTGACGCGAGTATAAGCCAAGGGGGGCTTTTTCAGCCTTAAAAAGTGCTGAAAAACTCAGCTTATACTAGAGTATATTAAATTCTGCTTCCATTATTGCTAATAATGCACTTTTGCCTTTGGTCTCCTCAATTACACTGAATTATGTTTTGGGCATCATTTTTTAAAATATACTCATGATATTGGAATTAGCTATGATTCTTGAGGTGGAAAAAGATAATAGACCGTGGAGTGAAAATACACATCTTAATGAAATTACTGGCTCAGTATGTCATGGTTGCCAACATTTGCTTCGAAATGAAGGAATGAAGGATGAAATTTGTGGCTCTTCTTTATGGAATATTGTGTGTGTAATATAGATTGTGATCCTTGATGTCACCTATGTTCAGTATTTCAATATAATGACTGCCTCGACTGGAGTTTGGAACAGAACAGTGCACCTACTAAGTGTGAAATGTAACATAGCTAAGGATGATTTAAAACCTCTGCGCGTTTTTTCAGATATTGCTGTATTTATTATTTATTTATTTACTTACTTTACTTGTATACCGCAGTTTCTCAGCCCAACAGGCGACTCAACGCGGTTTACAACAAGGATAAGAATCAATCAACGATATACAATTTAAAACCATAAAAGCATAATATACAATATTGACACAACAATAGACAACACAATGCATCTCATAACTAGAGTCGTGATCCAATCGTCGTCCAAATTTCCATTCCTGTAATCATCACATTCATTGCACTGTTTAACCAAATGCCCGTTCAAACATCCAAGTTTTTAATCTTCTTCGGAACACCATTAGCGAGGGGGCTGATCTTACCTCCATAGGAAGGGCGTTCCACAGCCGGGGGGCCACCACAGAAAAGGCCCTGTCTCTCGTCCCCGCCAGCCGCACCTGTGAAGCAGGCGGGATAGAGAGCAGGGCCTCCCCAGAATGTATCTTTCCAGAACAATATCTGTTCCAAAAATGTCTCACAATTCTTGTTGCCTTTATTTAGACTACAAAACAATGGCCTGAAACCCATTTTAAAACCCAACTAGGATTTGTCTGTCAAACCAATTAATTCAGTTCCATTGATTCTGTTGTTTAGAACTGGACTTAGGGTACTGTTTTTAAAGGCTGCTTGATCTTCTAGTGCTGCACATTGTCTTACATCTCCGAAT